CAAATCGTGCATTCTTCGTGCACAAAATCGTGCTCCAGATTGTGATCCAGACCACAAATTTGTGCACAAATTTTGCACAATTTGGAGCACAATCTGGACCGCAAATTTCATGTCTCGACCTCTACCCTCAGACGTGCCACCAAAAATCTCAACTCTAGAACATTGAAATTGGGCGTGCAAAAAATCGTGCTATATTTTGTGCTTTTTTAATAAAGGCCTTTATTAGCCTTTACTAAAAAAGCACAAAATATAGCACAATTTTTTGCACCCCCAATTTCAAACTTTGTCCGTAAAGCTTTCCCCAAAAATTGGGCAGCACTCTCCTCGCCAGCTGGCAGTGTACGACCTTCCAAGCCTGGACCCACAACCTGGAGACCGCAAATTTGTGCACAAATTTTGCACAATTTGGAGCACAATTTGGACCACAATTTTCAGGCCTCGATCACCACCCTCGAGCTCCACGTTTGAGGCAGCAAAATTGTGCTCCAAATCGTGCTCACCTCTTCTGGTCCCAATGTTCTCAATAAAAAACTTAGGCCTGGGTGGCCTGGGTTAGAGCTTTGCCAAAAAATTGGGCAGCATTCTCCTTGCTAGCTGGCAGTAGGCAGTAGGGTAAGAGCTTCCAAGCCTGGACCACAATTTAGAGCACAATTTGGAGCACAATTTTCAGGCCTCGATCACCACCCTCGAGCTCCACGTTTGAGGCAGCAAAATTGTGCTCCAAATTGTGCTCACCTCTTCTGGTCCCCAATGTTCTCAATAAAAAACTTAGGCCTGGGTTTAAACGGTTTAGGTGGTTTAGAGATTTACCAAAAGATTGGGCAGCATTCTCCTTGCCAGCTGGCAGTAGGTACCAACTCCAACCCATTGGAGAGCGCACATGGAGAAAAGAGAAAGTTCGTTTTGGCGAAATTGGGCGTGCAATAATTTGTGGTCATGATTGTGGTCACTGTTAGTGGGCATGGGCTAGACACAAATAATTATACATATATATATATGTACAATTTGTTCAACCCTATGAAGTGAGCGACAGGTCCATATTTTGAAGCCTATCGCTTGAACGAGAGTTCACTTGACTGACGGAGTTGTAAGCAAACCTGGAACGTAGCCATCCCTCAGGAGTTGAACATATTTGAGCTGATCGTAAGCCCTTTGGCCACAGCATGTTTTTTTTTTGACAGCCTGTCTGCAACTCCAACTAACGACATTCTGCCGGCCTAGTCTTTTTCTAGTTTTAAGGTTGACCGACATTCTGAATCCCAGATGTTTGCTTTATTCAATCATTGGTCCAGATTCGCAGCTTCCCGACAGCTGCTTGCACGCCAGTGTTTCAACAAACACACGCCCAGTTGATGTAAACAACACGTCCTTTCAGCGCCATGACTCTGGAGAGAACTCCGGCCTGCCTGCTCCAAGCGGGGGTAAAGGCGCATAAGAAGCTCGGCTTAACTTAAGGCTTCAAATGGCTTCTTTTTGCTTCACGTCCGCCGGAATGAAGTAAGGATTGCAATTGTAAGTTAAAGACCTGGGAAGAGCATGGTTATATATTGTTGTAATGGGCATGTTGCCTATAGTGCTATAGAACCTTACTTCAAGATGGAGAGGACTTCGTGGTGCCATAGCCATAGTCATCCATAAACGGGTTAATCAGGCTGGCTCCTTTCCCAAAGTACTCTCCTACATTCCTTGAACCTTTGGGCACACATGTTCTGACGTGTATATATATGCGCTAAAAACAAGCCATTGCCTCATATCACGAAAGCTAGCCTTAGCTAGCTGGAGTTGCTCTTGCTTTAGCAAGTTAAGTGACGGGGTGGACGCACCTCAGAAACCTCAAATAATTGATTAAATCAATCTTATGGCCCCCCCCCCCCCCGCGGTTCGACTCCCCCCCTGCGCGCGGTGAGCGGGACCACCAAGCAGCTGCAGCACACTAAGCATCTGCAGCGCCCAGCGCAGCAGCGGCAGCAGCAGCAGCAGCATACCCAACGCCGCGGCAGCAGCAGCCGCAGCAGACCACCCAGCGCCAGCAGCAGCAGCAGCAGCAGCAGACGACCCGGCGCCTGCAGAGCACCCAGCGCAGCAGCGCCCAGCGCAGCAGCGGCAGCAGCAGCACCAGCAGCAGCAGCACCAGCAGCAGACCACCGGAAGCCCGGCTAGCTTTCGTTCACCCCCTCTGGCCTCAAGTGACTCTTAAGCTTTGTGTTGCTTCGAAAGTTTTGAAGACACCTTTCCGCTCGAGGACCGGAGATCTCAAGGGCGCAGAGGACGAACCGCTGGTATGGCGTTGGTAGGTGTGGTTGGGGTTCTTTAACAAAATGCTAAAGATACCCTGCACGAAGGTACTCGGAGGAGGTGCCTGAAAAAGCCTGAAACTAATTCAATGACTCCCCAGAGCAGTTGTCACTCAATGTAGACTTGAGATGGCTTGAGCGAATTCAGTTGGTGTTGCACAGGAGCTCTACCAAGAAGCACTCCATTTGCTTGGCCTTGGGGGCGGTGGAGACGGGGCAGATCTAGAAGATAGGTCAGATCGGTCTCCCTCTGCAGAAGCTGCAGAATTGCTACATCTCTTGGGAGCCCTCAAGGCTCGCATTGAGGGGAGCTGCGGTCACTTCTACTAGTAACACGAAGCTACTAGTAGCAAGGTGCCTTACCACTACGTAGTAACAAGGAGCTACTATCAAAGCGTGTGCCAGAGAAATTGTTGATTGTTTTAAATTGAGGGGGCGCTGTAGGCAGTGAACAGAGCTAGTAGCGAGTAGCTAGTAGCAGATTGGGCGGCCGTGGTTGGCAGTTGGGCATGGAGCATCAAACGCATTGCGACGCAAACAGGTATAGCAGGTACAGTGCATCATAGCACATTCAGATCCAAACACAAGACTATCACTTTGCTCTACTCAGGTCCAGAAGCTTGTCGGGGAAGACGACGAGGCTGAAGCTAGCGAATCTGTAGCAGAGGAGCTGTGCGTAGCGCAGGCGCTGCTTCGTGGTGCTTTGGCGGTGCTGCCAGGGGATGCCAGCGTGAATGCGCGGGCGAGGCTGCTGCGCTTCGGCCTTTAGCCGTTACTAGGAGCAAGGCTCGCTACTAGGAACAAAGGGCATCGCTACTAGGAACAAGTGCCTTACTAGTAGTAACAAGTGCCTTACTAGTAGTAACAAGAAGCTACTAGTAACAAAGGGCATCGCTACTAGGAGCGATCGGACGCTACTAGTAGCTCCTTGTCTTACTACTAGTAACAAGAAGCTACTAGTTTACTAGTAACAAGGTTATACACACATCAAAGGCCTTGATCAAAACGCAGAATTGCCACAACCTATGCAGCCAGCATACATGTCTAATTCATGTTTTCGCTGCAGACAGGTCGAGGTTGGCTGGCTATGCTTTCAAAACTGTAGACCGGTCAATGACTGTGTATTGAAATAAAGGTGACATAAGATGACCATCGACTTCCGTGATACCACGTGGCATCTTTATGATTTTTATGCTTGTTCCTAGTAGCGATGCCAGGAGCCCCTAGTAGCTTCTTGTTACTACTAGTAAGGCACCTGTTACTAGAAGCGATGCACTTGTTCCTAGTAGCGTCCTTGTGCTCCTAGTAGCGATGCATTCAAAGGTGCTCCTTGGGCACGGCCTTGCTCCACGCGCCCGGGTCACTTGGGTCGCAGTGAGCCGTTGACGATCTCTCAGTATGTCGGGGCTTGTTGCGTGCTTTTCCTGAATCCTATAAGTCATGGTCAGAATCAATGTTCTAAGCCTCTAAGGAGCAAGGAAGCTACTAGGAACAAAGGGCATCGCTACTAGGAGCGATCAGACGCTAGATGCAGATCCTTTGGGTTCATAGATGGAACGCAGTCTCACCAGCAAGCACCTGCTAAGTCTGACATGTCAGCCGCCCAGGCGACGCAATGCCTCGCCTGGCTGCGGTCGGTCCAAGGGCGCCTCTCTAGAGGCATGGTATGAATAACGACCGTGAAGATTCTGGTGCTTCTTTTCGCCACCGGCCGCAGCCACAACAATCGGGGTAAACCAAGTTGGCACTTTTCAAGGCGGTTTCACTTGTTCCTAGTAGCGATGCCAGGAGCCCCTAGTAGCTTCTTGTTACTACTAGTAAGGCATTTGTTACTAGTAGCGATGCACTTGTTCCTAGTAGCGTCCTTGCTCCGTTCGTAGCGATGCTCACTTCAAATCCACCACGCTTCGGCCTGTGCGTCCACTGAACAAATTGACCTGCCCACCGACCAGCATCCTAAGCCTCGCAGGGGCTTGCCCCCTGACAGGAAGCCTTGCAGCTGTTGCGGGAGGCCTGCAAGTTGGATGAGACGCGCTGGGCTGCGTGGTACAACGCTGCGCGGGGCATGGCTTTGCTGTTGCTGGTGCCTTGGAAGAGTCACATGCTGCTGGACATGTTTTACAAAAAGTCGATGGAAACCAGCAGAGAAGATGGAAAATAGGAATAGAACATAGATTGCACATGCATTCATTTTTGTAGCCTTGTGCTTTTGATGTGCATGTTCACCTCAATTGTGGCACGGTCATGTCCGAGAGTTTTGCCTGTTTGAGGCAAAGACATCCCCAAAAATTCTGGGAATTGGGGTACTCTTCTGCCGAACTTCGTATTAGATTGGAGGCCATCGCTCTTGGGGTGGAGGCCATTGCTATTAGGTTGGAGGCCATTGAAAAGCAGACTGACACTGAATGTTTGATGAAGCGCCTCAGCACCTCTCTCCGTTGCCCAAACGGCCTGACGCGGTTTGTTTCCCTGCTTCATGCGCACCAGACATGCTTCATGTGCATCAGTTCACTTGTCATCCAGACATGCAGAACCTGACACCATTCCATGGGATCCGGAGGGCGGCGCAGAGCCAAGGAGAAGGAGAAGGCAAAGTCCTGCAAAGATGAGATCAAAGCTTTGGAAGAGGAGAGAGAGACAGCTTATGACAGTGCATCCTGTCGCTTACATCAGGCTTGCATTGCAAGCGCGGGCGCACATTTGTTTCCTGAGCCAACCAACATCACAGGGAATCGTTGCGTGTCTTACGTATCAGTTGTTGTCAGTTTCTGAATTTGTTCAAATGACACTTTAAGATCTTTAAGAATTCCAGAACGGCAAGCAGTTGGCCCTAGACGCCACAGAATGTGGCTCCGAGACTTTGGGCTCTATCCGTGATACGGCGCCGACCCTCGCCGACCCCAGCTCCCATCAAGGGGATAGCTGATAGTATCAGGTGGGTCCTGCGCGGGCCATTGTGGACCAATGGCAGCAGTCAAACGAAGACCGTGTCGGCTTCGAAGACGTTCTGCGACGATGCTGCACTTCGTACCTGTGTACCTCGGCGGATGCACCGCTGCGAAAGGAACGACACTGGTGATCCCCGGTGAGGGTCTTGTGTGATTTCCGCGCTTTTCCACCTTTTTGCGAGGAGAAGTTGCAAGCGCTCCGGCAAGCTCTACGGCTGAAGCCTCGGCATGCGGGATGCCTCTACCGACTGGGCATGAGCCTTCGTGAGCGAGGCCTCGCCATCGATCTTTCTTTTTGTGGACAAAAGCATGCAGAAGCGGACAATACTCCCAACTGTGAAAGTCGTTGCGAAATCTTTGCTGTGAGCTCTCCAGCTTGTGTTTTGCTTTTGAAAGAAGTCGTTGTGAAACCGGTGTACCTTGGTGTTCTTGGGGGATTTGTTCTTGTTTGTTCAACCTTTGTCTTGGTGTACTATGCAGAACTGACAACCCCACATGCTTTGCAGTGCCTTTCGCGGTTAGGTGTACTATTTTGAAAGCTGCAAGAGCCCCTAGATGCGTTCTTTGTTGTCAATGTCAATATTAATTTGCACTAATTCCACAATGACTAATAGTGTTTCAGGTGAGGGCTAAATAGCTTCCAGATGGAAGAAAATATGCCCACTCGCAGTGCATCTATTGCCATTCTGCTGCTTGTTTGATAGTTCATTTCGTTGTTGTTTTTCTCCCAATGGAGGCACAATTACAACGCGTCCCATCTTTTAGCAAGTTGGAGGGGGTCAAGACAGCACTCTCTTGAACTGTGCTGGCCGAGTTTCTGAGAGGAGACCATGAGGAAGCTGCCAAGGCGTTGGAGGACTTTCTGTCCATCTCTGGCCCATCACCCCAAGAGGCTGAGGCATCCAAGGCCACCTCTGCTTCATCCAGGCGGAAAGCGGGCGCAAGGCCGGCACCGATCCGTGCCCACGCCGTGCTCAAACGTCAGTGCGCTGTGCTGTGCCTTTTTTGGGGTCCACACACCTCAACGGAGTCGTGCTTGGGACAAATACCAAGATAGTGAATCGTAATACAAATACCAAGCGGAAGAATCTGATTTACAAAGTGACACGTGCTTCTTTTGGATTCCTCGATGTTCCCTTCCACACTGAGCATATGTCATTGTGCTTTGTGGAGGCATTGGCTAGCTGTGTTGCGTGGCGAGACGACTGCCTCCGCTCCGGCAGAGTATGTCGCGGGTCTCTTCGATGGCTATGCCGATCGATTCGATGAACATTTGGTTGAAACCTTGGAGTATCGGACTCCAGAGCTGCTGTCCCAAGAGCTCGTGCAGGCAAGACCAAGGACGTGGCAAGACACATAAATCATATTTAGGTTGGAGGCCGGTTGGAGGCCATCGCTAGGTTGGAGGCCATTGCCAGTAGGTTGGAGGCCACCGCTACTAGGGTGGAGGCCATCGCTAGTAGCTTGGAGGCCATTGCCAGTAGGTTGGAGGCCATTGCTAGTAGGTTGGAGGCCATCGATAGCCATCGCTACAAGGATGGAGGCCATTGCTAGTAGGTTGGAAGCCATTGCTACTAGGGTGCAGGCCATCGCTAGTAGGTTGGAGGCCATTGCTAGTAGGTTGGAGGCCATCGCTACTATGGTGGAGGCCATCGCTAGAGCCCATCGCTAGAGGCCATCGCTAGAGGCCATCGCGAGCCATCGCTACCAGGGTGGAGGCCATTGCTAGTAGGTTGGAAGCCATTGCTACTAGGCGGCCATTGCTACTAAGGTGGAGGCCATCGCTACTAGGTTGGCGGCCATTGCTAGGTTGGTGGTCATCGCTAGTAGGCTTTGTGCAATGTTTGCAATGTTCTCTAGAAGGCACGATAAATTTGTGTGCTCTCAGCCTGGCACAGATGAAAGCCGTTATCGCTGCAGAATCTGATTCGGAGACTTGGCAGTGATCGACATGGTTGATGAGTTCAGTGTGGTGCAAGTGGAGCCATGTCGAACCCACCCTCAGTGGATAGTGCAGTGCATGTTCCCAGCCAAATTTTAAGGCCCATTTATGGCATGTGTGTTCCATCGCTACTGGGGTGGAGGCCATCGCAAGTAGGTTGGAGGCCATTACTAGAACAAGAAACTACTAGGGGCTCCTGGCCTTACTGCTAGGAGGAAGGACGCTACCAGGGGCTCCTGGCATCGCTACTAGGAGCATTCTTACTACTAGTATCAAGAAGCTACTGGTGTGGAGGCCATCCACATCAGCTTTTGGAGTTCCATTTGGCCCAGGAAGAGCCACTCTTCGGGGTGTGTGCAGATTTGGGCTGCGGAACTGGCCTCATGGGCCCGTACTTGCGTGAACTTGGGGTCACATATTTGGAGGGTGTTGACCTATCATCCAAGATGCTTCAGGCCAGATCCTCGAGCCGTTCGAGCTTGGGGAAGCGGGATGGTGTTTGGATGCGTTAAGGATCGGAATCACAGTGCGATGGAGGGCCGGACTGAAGATACAGAATGCAAATATACTTTTAAAAGGGCTGCGAAGTGGACATGAACACAGTCTTTGCGTGTTGTTTTCCTGTGTTATCAATCTGTCCTTTACTGTATATAGTGTGCAATGAAGTGATGCAGTGGGCATCGCACACTGGCCATCGTGATCCCGCCATGCTGTTGGGGCTGGTCATCAGAGGAGTTGCAAAGCAACACAGATCCAGGCAACGTCTTGCAACGGCAGGTCGCCAAGGAGAAGCAACGTGGCTATGACCGACTTCTTTGTGGTGATTTGGTGGACGTGTTCCAAAGCGATACCAAATTTGACCTGGTGGTGGCAGCAGACGTTTTCGCGATTTGGCCAAAGGCGTCCAGATCTTTTGTCGTCTCCTTCTTCGTTTGCGCCTGTTCATAACCTCTCTTCCTTCTACCATCTTCTACCTGAACATGCGAACATATGCGAACCACAAATCAGACATGAAACATCATATTTATGAATGTGTTGCGAGTGCTTTGCTTCCGCATTCTGATGTTTCTTCACTTGCTTCATGTGCTTTGCGGAGCGATGGGCTGTGTTTTCTCTGAGGTCTACGTCGGCGACCTGGCACCGGTGCTGCGCGCCTGCCACGCGCGGCTTGCGGACTGTAGGTCTGTCGTGGCCTTCAGCACTGAGGCCCCGCCGCGGAGCGGCAGTGCCAACGAGCATGAGTCCGCTCTGGCCGAGGCCGCAAACGGCGCAAACCAGGGGAGAATAACGCATTTCAAGCAAGCCACGATTAGAAAAAGCCCCAACAATGAAGAAGCATGAAGCACTCGAACCGAAGGAAAGGGAGACATAGAACAAAAGAAGAGGAAAGGCAAGACCTGCAAAGAAGAAGGCTCCTAGACTAGATGGTACTTATTGGTAGGCCGGTTGGTGTGGCATAATATATATATATATACATAACATCTACACTGGATATGCTTTGCGCTGCAAGTTGCGCCCTTACAGAAAGGTCCGCAGAACATGGACACTAGTAGCGATGCACCTTGTTACTAGTAGCTTCTTGTTCCTAGTAGTATGGCCAGGAGCCTAGTAGCGTCCTTGCTCCTAGTAGCGATGCCCTTGTTACTATCAAGAATATCATCCGTTTGTGTGCAGGGCACTTTCAAGCTCGCTGAGACTGGGCGCTACATCCACACAGCTTCATACGTGCGGCAGTGCGCAGAAGAGGTTGGTCTTAAGTGTCCTGGCTATGGCAGTCATCTTGAGAATTGCTCACTTCAGGGAGTTCGTGCATTCATTGGCGGCTTCAGGTTCAACATGAATGTGTTGACTTCCGAACTGTTCCTGCGTGTGCAGTGTGGTGGTCGCATAGTGTCACTCTACGTGCATTTTGTGCGCCCATGCCGCACTATGTCCAACAATCATGGGTAGAGCGGTGTGGTTGTGTCCTGGCTATGGCCTCCAACCTAAAACTAGGTACTAGTAGCGATGGCCTCCACCCTAGTAGCGATGACCTCCAACCTGGTAGAGCGGTGTGGCTGTGCTTTTGACACGGCCCGCGTGGCTTTGTGAAAAGCGGCGTGCGCTCAATCAGCCGAGACTCGTGAAGACGGTAGGTCTTTGCAGCACTGCGCGTGCCTTGTGCGCATGCCCACCGAATGCAATTGTTTGTCAATTGCCTCCGACTTGCCCGAACTTGCTAGGGACAATGTGTATGTTTGTTTGGGTCAAGCAAAGGCAAAAAGAAACATCGGTCCAGTTGAAATAAGCTTTTGTACAGCCTGTCGGCGGGTTTGCTCAGGTTGTGGAAGCGAAGTAACGTGCCTTTGCTCACTCCTGGGAACGGGAAGTGCAGACAAAGTCATACATTGGACACAGATATGCTAAACATTACATCATTTTGTTGTATATATATATATATAAACCTCATTTAGTTTGAACAACTTAGTCAGGCATTCGGTCTGGGGAGACCACACACAATGCCAGCGATCATGTACCTCGTGTGTTTGGTGTAAGGTAGGTTGTTTCACCGGATGTAACCAATTAGCTTGTTGCACATGTTTGATTCATACCGCAGTGCTGCATGTGATTTATGCCTTCAAAGGCAGGCATTTACACGGGGGATTGGGCTGCCTGAGGTGATCCTTCGCAGGAATGGTGGAAAGCCCGTGTACGGCCACTTGCACATATTGCGGAAGATGGAGATGCCGCAGAAATAGCTGACGAAAGGCCAATGCCAGATCCCAGATTTGCCCCGAATACCAGCATGGAACTCATGCCTCGAGGAACATAGAGGCATAGTGTTCCATTTAAGTTGTTAGATGTGCCAACCCTGCTGCTGCTCTTTCCAGCTAAGCTGGATGGAAGCCAGAAGGCAAGGAAACAATGCAGCACTGTGAGGACATGCTGCAACAACTTCCCATTTTCGCCAAACAGAGAAAAGAGCAACTGATCCGCATTGAAAGAACCTGCAACTAGAACCGTGCCAGGCAGTCAGCTTTGAACAACCTCTAAGAATGTGTAAAGCGACTTGATCTTTGCTGCGAGTGGCTGATCGAGACCTCTTTGGGCAAAGAACACGCCTGAAGGTCTTGCCATTCCGACGGTAGCAGGATGTAACAGGTTCGCAAAGTGCTCTCTGAGGATGTGAAATGCGCTATGCTTCGGCAAGTCGACACGCCCAACCAGTCCAGCACTTGGATTCAAGCTGATTGCGCAGAATGCTTGGAGGCCATCGCTAGTAATTAGGTTGGAGGCCATGGCTAGTAGGTTTGAGGCCATCGCTCTTAGCTTGGAGGCCATCGGGCCAATAGAAACAAAACAACGTGAAAAAGAAAGGCCATTGGGCATTTGGGTGGGGTCCCTGGGACGGAATTTTCGGGCCAATTCAGACTGATGCGGACTCAAGGGCGTCCACCAAAGAGGTCTAAAGACTGATGACTCAGACTCTGTATGTATGTGATGTAATGTAATGTAATGTAATGTAATGTATGGTAATGATTGTAATGTATGTATGTATGTATGGATGGATGGATGGATGTATGTATGTATTCCTAAGGTTGTCTTTTCAGGCGAACGAGTTGGTGGCACATTGGCCAAGAGCAGCAGGCCGCCAGTTGCCGTGGTTGAAGTGGGCGAGGCAGCCGCATGGTTGGTGTCGTCTCAAAAGAAGTCGACTTCGTAGTCTTGCTCTTGGCTGCTTTCTGAAGTCTCCGCTTCTTGCAACCCATCGGAATGGGTGTCTGGCCAGTCGTGCTGTGTTTGCTGGGATCGCAGCCTTTTGGCTGCTGGTGGTTGAGCCTGCGGCAGCTGTGGCTGTTGTTGGGCTATTGGCTGGGTATCATGGCCTGGAGCCCATGGCATCCCACTTGGCAGCAGTGGAGACTGATCTGCATCATGTGGTGTGGGTGTGGCAGCATGGTAGTTGAGCTGCCTTGGCACTAAAGGAGAAGTGCTGTCGGTAGGGTAGGGCTTGGTCGTGCCATGTTGTCCAGGTGTGGCTGGGGTTCATGGCCTGCCTGGATCTGTGCTGTGTCTTTGACATCTGCATGGCACTGGTCTGGCGGACTTGAGCCCTGGCTTTCATGAGTTTGACTAGCCTTGGCTGTTTGCCGCCTGAAGATTTCGGTAATTGGCGGTGAGGCACCAATGGGAGCTCCCTTGCAGGTTTTCTTCAAACCTGCAGTGAGGATGGGTCGGTGTTGTGCGTCGAGCTGGGTGTGGGTGCCACAGTTCTGGCAGTGTGTCACCTTTCTGCCAGAGGGTGTGACTCTGGTGACCCTGGTGGCCTGGGGTGTAGAGCTGGTTGATGCACTGGCTGCGGACAAACTCCAGGAAAGCAACCTCATGTGTTCGTTTGTGGACGTTGAGGCCACAGGTCATGCATCGTAGATAGCCCTTAGTCTCTTCCAGGTTGTGTTGGCTCTCTGGTTGATGAGCAGTCTGTTTTTCCAGCAGACTGGCAATGAGCTGAGCTCGGGTGACCTTCCTCTGGATGGCCTTGTGCGGGCTGTGATGTGTCAGGCCTTGATGTACCCGTTCTCCACAGGCACTGCATTGGTAGCCACTTCGATGTGGTTTGATCTGGCAAAGCCATCCAGTGACCGGGGCACTGTGAAGGTGCCATAGGTGTTCAAGAGTTTGCTGTGTTTGGTGGGTGTGCCATTGACCATAGTGTTCCTGGTGATGTGGCTGACCAGGACTGGTTTGTCATCCAGGTATTGGCCCAATCCAGTATTCGCCGACCCATTGAAGAGATCTTGGAGGTTGGTGACCTCTGGCCAGTCATCAGGAAACGGTACCAGGATTGGCTGTTAGATGTGGTCCGTCAAATAGCCACCTGGCTGGATCTCTGCAAATCTGTAGTGGAATGCCCTGGTTTGAGAGACATTCCACAAGGTGTTGACGAAGTGGTTGGCATCTCCTTCGATGTTGAGGTCGTGCTTCTTCCACATTGGTCTCAAGCCAGGAAGTTGTTGGATGTCCACTGGCTCTGCAAGTTCCAGGGACTCTTGGACAGCTTCTTTGAGGTTGCCCCATGGTTGTGTGTTGGTTTCCTGCAACAATGCACATGTCCAGGTGAATGCTCTCCAAGGGGCGTTGGCATAGCACCGTGCACTTGGGTTCCCCACTGCCATGGTGAGGTTCTGGAGAATGACTTCTGTGGTGGAAGCATAGGTGGCTTCCATCTTGCCAGTGTGCTTGGCAGGTGGTGTCACTTGACTGCGGGGCTTTCCACCTCCTTGAATGCTGACAACGTGTGGTCCTGGTGCACCCAGCAGCGGCCCATGCGTCGAGGCAAGTGAACTGGCTTCAGCAAAATTGGTAGACCTGTGTGTTCTCCATATGATCAAGAGCATTGTCCCTGGTACTCTTGTTGGAGATGTCCCCCAAAAGTGGTTGCTGTGTGAAAGGATTCAGGTGGGTGTGTGACTGTTCCCCTGCACATGTCACCTGCATGTCCCCGTGCGCTGAGCTTGAGGCAGCGCGGCAATCCCCATGAACTGGCGCCCAATCAACTTCTTCCCAAGGTATCGGCGCCTCGACACCTGGGAATTCCGGGAGATGGTCCTGGGTGGTGTTACCCGCACTCCCCTCCTGCTGGCAGATTGGGCGCATCTGTTTTCCTGCGCTTGTTTGGGTCTTCGACATCAGTTCCTGGCCTCTTGAGGAGACCGTGGAGCTGGCTTCGTTGCTGAGCTGTCAAATTGATGCCCCGGTTCGTGACAAAGGTCTCAACTGCCATCAGGATGGGAAGCTCTGGATCGTTCAGCTCAAGTTCAGCTGGTGGTGGTGTCTTGTTGACCGCCTGCATGTACTGCTCAGAAAGGGTTTTGAGCTTTTGCTGACCATCTGTGAGCTTAGTTTGATGCTCCTGCATGTCTTGTAGCATACTGGCGTATTGGCTCTTGACTTGATCAAGGCGTGTCTGAAGCTGTGCCTTCTTCATCGAGATGGTTTTGAGCTCAGTCACTTGAGTTTTGAGCTTTTGAGCCAGTGCCTTCTCTGTGTCCGGGATGGGCTGGTGCATCTTGTTGACTACATCCTGGACAGCCTGCGGAAGCTCCTTGAGGTGGGTTTGCAGGATGGCTTCTAGGCCTGGCTCTTCTTGAGGAGGCGGTCCAAAGCCAGGAGTCTGCAGTTTGGATTGCACTTCAGCAGGAATGACGTCCCATGTGCTGGCTAGTAGCTCGTTTGCAGCCTGTGTGGGCATAGTCTTCTTGAGTGGCTTGAGCTTCTGTAGTCCTGGAGGTTTGTCAAGGAGTTCATTGGAGCTCATGCGCCAACTATCTTGAGATCTTTGAGGTCGACCTTGACCCTTTCCTTTGCCAATGCCTGCTCTCGATGAGGGCCACCAACTGCCACATTTGCGGCATCTGGTATCTGGTCGTAGTTTGTCTTGCCAGATCCAATTGGAGCATTTGTGACATACCACATAGGCTCTGCGCCAGGAAGTTTGGCTGCTAGGCGTCATAGTGCAGGATGCAGTAGATGACACTGTTCAAGTGATACTGCACGTTGATGGCAAGGTTCAGGGTCCTGGGCAAGAACAGGCCGTGCTCAAAGGCAGAGTTGTAGCACCAGTGCTATGCAAGCACTGGAGGTTGAAGCCAGGCGAGCACTTGCCAGGTGCCAAAGGTCTCTGCCAAAGCGGTGAGCTCGAGGTCGGGAGATCACGGGCAAAGGACGCTCACCCTTGAGCACCTCTTGGGCGGTGACCGTGAGGAGGTTCTGTGTGCACACGTGGTGCCAGGGGGATCCGCACCAGCTGGATTTCTTGTCGGAACCAGCTTGAACCTCTCACAGCCTTGAGCCATGTATGTATGTATGTATGTATACATACACAGACGCATAGTGACATTACTAGGCTCCCCGCAGTTCATTGCTTAACTCTTCCGCCCGGCATTCGCAGCCTTTGCTCGAACATGCTCCTTGGGGGTGCTTGCGGGTGATCATATGAGGAGCTATTAGCACGTGTGCTGGTGACTCAGATTTGCGAATGCAGTGAAATTCAGGCAAGATACGGGTTGTGTGGTGCACTTCTGGATTTCATCTCTGCTACCACTAAGATTCATGAAGAATGCCCATTTGGTTCCCAGTTTTGTTAGAGTTTGAGGGCTTTTTGGCTCGGCTTGTGACGTAGCCGGACCAGTTTGACTAATTTTTTTCACGTTTTGTGCTTTCGACTCCTTTACCTCGTTCTTCCACATAACGCGGGCCCCTGCTGGCGCTGATGGCCCGGCGCCCGCGGCGGGGCTGGGAGCGGGGTTGGGCAGTGCTTTTGTATTCGCACATTGGGCAATGAGAATATGGCCTGACAATAATAAGCTACCAGTAACACGGACGCTATTAGGGGCTCCTGGCATCGCTGCGAACGGAGCAAGGACACTACTAGTAGCTCCTGGCCTTACTACTAGGAAGAAGGACGCTACCAGTAATAAGGACATCACTACAAGTAACAAAAAGCTACAAGTAGCTGTGGGAAGAACATGGAAGAACTTCCAAAGATCTGAGGTATGTGCGTGTGACTGAGAACAGTTGAATGTTGAACACATGATTTGGCAGCTGGTTGATCAGTTGATTTGTAAGTTCGCAAGCCAGTTCTTTGGACTTGGTTGCTTAAGGGTTGAGAGAGATTACGACTTCAGATTGACTTGCTCCTCCTTGAGATGCTCAGTTTTTAGTTTAGTTGCTTGGCCAGCCGGTTAATCAGCTGACAAACGGGAAAAACAGGTGGTCACTGAAACGGTTAACATGCAGATCGGCAATCGGTTCGGCAGCGCGTTTGTCGTGAGTCAGTACGCCAGCAAGGTCATTAGTTTCGAGATTTCGAGTAGGTGAGTGAACATGCTTTGACTTGGGTGTAATTTCCTCCCCGAAACTCAAGGCCGCCACAACCATTGCCAGAGGTAACCAGAGTTTCTGGTGTGAGGCTATTTCGGCTGGCATGAGGTTGTGGAAAACTCCTAGTCTTTTTGGCCAATCAAAAGATGTGACGTAGAGACCTAGTAGTAGTCTATGTAAGGGGGTGGGGGATATTTTTCAGGCGGTCAGAGACAGTGACTACATGTGAATGCAGAGCCATTGGCATGAGGCGGCACGAGGCATACTACGAGGCATATGTTCTCACCTCCGTCGCCCGTTTGGCTGAATTGAGGCGCCCGGGTGGCGCGCCGCTCCGCGGGCGCGGCGTGAGGTCGCCATGGCGTCGGAGGCGGCGAGGGACTTCTTTGGTGGCACGCTGGGCGGCATGACCGGCACCTCGACACGGAGTTGACAACAACATGGACGGCTTTTTCTTCATACCATCACTTTCCTCCTCCTACTAGCAACCAAGGGCATCGCCACTAGGAGCAGGAAGCTACTACAGTAGTAGCTCCTGGCCTTACTACTAGGAGCAAGGACGCTACTAGTAACAAGGTTCAAACCATAACTTTCCTTGGTCTCGGTGCTCCGTGTTTGCACAGTGCTGCGTCCAAGCCTAAGGCATCCTTGCCGGACATCCGCTCGACACTGCCAAGACAAGACTCCAAGCCATGCCGCAGTTTGACAAAAGCAGCACCCAACGGGTTCTGGTCGAGACCGTGCGTGCCTGGACTTTGACTCGCTGTTTTCCCTGTTTGGGTGGTAAGTTTAGAGCAAATTTGTGTGTATTAGTCCCATAGAAAGGTATAACATGCCAGAACTGTATGCTGGTTTCGCATGTGCAGGATTTGAGACAAAACAGACGTTGAATGCAAGTGCCTGGTGACGTAAGAACATACGAACACCGAGCGGTGAAGTCATTCATTAGAGTCACCTGCTCCAAGGTGGAGAGGGCATGCGGGCTCTGTACAAAGGAATTTCGTTCCCCTTCTGCAGCACGGTGCGAGAAGTCGAGTCAGCCACAAATGTGTTTCTTGAAGTTTGTGACATGGCAAGGTGTCAGTATTAGTTGTTGTTCATGTGTTTTTCGTTTTTTTTTTTACACAGATTAATATGGTTTCTAGAAGCTGCAGGACGCGTTTTTTTGCCCATGACTCCTGAGCTAGCCGACTGTTGTAGCTGAGCCAACCTGCCTTTGTCTACTGTATGTTTGTCCATTTTTGGGAGGCGCTCATCAATGCCGTGGTCTTCAGCGTTCAGGGCATCTCGGAGCGCACTTTGCGCGCTGTTTTCTCTGATGACCGCCCCCAGCTTACAGGCGGCTGTGCCGAATCGGACTCGTCGTGCGGTTGGCATGTTACTAGTAGCTTCTTGATTCTTGCTACTAGTGGTAATGGCCTCCAACCTACTAGAGATGGCCTCCAACCTAATATTATAGCGATGGCCTCCAACCTAGTAGCTTCTTGCTACTAAGTTTATTGGTCCCTTTGTTTACCTTTTTCACCCTCTCCATGGAATTGCTTGCCATTAGTAAATCAGCTCGGGGGAGCAGGGCCATGGAAGCATCCTTGAGACGTACGTCCTTCCTTTCTCGAGGAGGGGGGATTTTGCCAATCAGCAGCGGTGCTGCATGGTGCTGCTGAGGGTAATGATAGGTCCCTGATAGGTCATGATAGGTCCAAGTCTTGAGAGGTGTAAGGATTGCAAGTGCATTGAGCTAAAGTGAGCCAGCACAAAACAGACCAAAATCCAGCAAAGGGTGGAAAAAGGCTGACATCCTGCGACAGGCTTCTTGGGTGGCTGCATTGCTGGCTTAGCTCAGAGCCCACTGGTTTGTGCAGTTGACCTGGTCAAGACGCAGAGACAGGCCTCTTTGGAGCACTTAGCAATCTGCAGTCGGGCATTCGCAGAGAACAAGGACCAGGAAAGACACTTGCAGGGGGCAATTCAGGGCTCAATGACCATTTGCTCTGAGATTGTAGGCGAAAGCAATGAAAGAGCAGACCGAAATTAGCGACCCAAAAGTGCCAGGTTCAGATGGGCTGGGCCGGCGAAAGGCCGCTGCAGATCTTTAGGACCGAGCTCACCAGACGTAAGACGTGTCACAGAAGCTTCTTGTTACTACTAGTAAGGCACCTGTTACTACTAGCGTGGCACTTGTTTCTAGTAACTTCTTGTTACTGCTATAGCGATGGCAGCGATGGCCTTTGCTCTTAGTACTGTAAGTCTTAGTAGCTTCTTGCTGTCGATTGCTGTGGACACTGTCCCCTCAACAGAACGGAGTGTGAACATTTGTCCCCTTCTGAGCGGTAGACTTCGGCAGGAACCGCATCCGACACCTTGGTTTCCGCCAGGGTGCCTTGCAGGGCTTGGGGCCCACGGCAGTGAAGGAATGCCCTTCGTACGGTGCCTCTTGGCCGAGTCAAACCTGGCCAAGACATTCAGAACGAGAGATTGGACACAGGCACAAGAAAGGTGCTCAAAAAAAGGAGGAAGGAAAAAGAGACAAGAAAACAAAGGCATACAAAGGATATACTGTAACTGTAACTAATATTTTTTTTGTATCGTGTCATTGTTGGTAAATTACTTGTCAGGGGAACCTTCACAATACTCTCCGCCACAAATGGGTCATTGTGGCGAAGCAGGACGGTTTTACCTCATGAGGCCAGAGAAAGACAAGTCTTGGACAGTGAGGCAAACTTGCATGTAGAAAAGCATTTGGAAGATGCCTTAGAACAAGTAGTAACAAGTGCATCGCTAGTAGTAACAAGTGCATCGCTAGTAGCAACAAGTGCCTTACTAGTAGTAACAAGAAGCTACTAGGAACAAGTGCATCGCTGAGGTATATTTCCTGGTGTACGAGGAATCCAAGAGCTTACTGGACCCCAAGCTGCCTGTGGTGGTTTCAACCTTATGTGCTGGCGGCCTAGCTGGCTGCTTCGCGCTGGGACTCTTGGAAAGATTTCTGTCGACTGGGTCGTCGAAAGGAGAGGCACCATAGTGGCCTCCAACATCCTCCAACCTAATAGCACACTATTTTAGACCTTTCTTCCTTTTCTTTCTTCTTTGTTTCTGACAGCGATGGCCTCCAACCTAATAGCGAGGATCATGTGATTGTATCCCCGACAAGACCTTGCGACCGGATTCTAGTAGAAAGTCTTGCCATTCGGTGACAGCTGTGTCGGCCAATTCGAACGTCGTCCAGGCATATATAGATCTTGCCAGGGTATGCACGTGCTGCTTCTGTCACGAGCAGGTTGTTGAATGATTTGTATGAATTTTTGAAGCGTACAATGCCCGTTCTCTCCAGGCATGATCCACCCAGTGGATGTGGTGAAGGCCCGCATCCAAGCGCTGCCTACGTCCGCCACTTCGCAGGCGAGATGCAACATTGTGCAATCAAGATTTGAAGTGAGTGGATTGAAAGTCAATATAGGTTTACTAGGAGCAAGGACGCTACCAGGGCTCCTCGCCTTGCTACTAGGAACAAGGACGCTACTAGGCGCTCTTAACTTGCTACTAGGTGGAAAACTGATTTTCCCAGCGCTTCAGCGGACCACAGCCTGATTTCCAAGGAACGCGAGCCCTGGCACGCCATCTCTACAGGCTTCTCTCGAGAGGGGACCACTTTCTTCCTACGTGGCTTTGGAGCCGCCATGGCACGGGCCTTTGCCCCTCGGCTACCCTTCGACGGAGGGGGTGTCGAACATTTGCAATGATTTGGAGCAAGAACTTGGCGGAAGAACCTCCAGGATATGTCATTTTGTTCAATGAAGGCTGCTACTTATTGTTCAATGATGTTGTCTTGCCTCACCAAATTTACTGATAAATATACTATATAAATAACTACATTGTATATCATTTCTGTTTTACAGCTGCAAAACGGTTGTAAGATGTCAAACTATGTTCCAAGTGGTCAAGCAGGTATATAGTACTCAAAACAGTCATCTTTGGTCATCTTCAGGTGGTCAATGCCGCGACTTTTGGAGGGTACGAAGCCGCTGTCGCTGCCTGGGACGCTTTATGACCAAAAAGATGGCCGAGCCACGCGATGACATCCTGAGCGGTTGATGTTCGTTGGGGTGCTTGTTCAATTCTCACTAATGAGGTCAAGGAAATCGCATATTAAGCAACAATATATATTCTATATTATATATTATGTATATATCTATATATATATATGTGTGTGTGTGTAATTATTGTAAGCATGCCACACGCAAAATGTAATATATACGGTTAACATGGGTCAACATGCATCAACTGATCCAATCGCAGAGACATTGCCTTCACACATATAGACATTGCGGTGATTGCTTCAGTTACTCAGATGAGAGTGATCATGTAATGGCAAAGATTGCGCACAATGCCTAAACTTAAACATATTAAAGCCTTTTAGATTGCCTCGTGAAGGGGGAGAACTGAGAACTGACGACGGCGCAGGCAGCATGGCGTGCCGCGGTGGCTGCACCGCTGAGTGCCGGAGCTATGTGGCGCTGTCGGAGCTGCGGAGACTTGGAGTTGAAGAAAGTAAAAGAGACTTGTTCCTAGTAGCTTCTTGTTCCTAGTAGCGATGCACTTGTTCCTAGTAGCTTCTTGTTCCTAGTAGCGATGCA